TAACTTCAAATGGTCACTAAAAATGGTATTGGACCTGGCTACCTGAGAGACTGCCTCCTGCCATTCACCTCCCAACGACCAATAAGATCACACAGGTTGGCCCTCCTCCAGGTGCCGTCGACCGGACAATGCCAGCTGGCGGCTCCCCGAGGGAGGACCTTCTCTGTAGCTGCACTGGCCTTGTGGAACGAGCTACCTGCAGAGATCCGGACACTCACCACTCTCCCAGCCTTCCGTAAAGCAACCAAGACCTGGCTATTCCGGCAGGCCTGGGGCTGTTGATTAATTTCCAGCCCCACTTGATGAAATGGATGTTGTATTAATTTTAATATTGTATCTTTTAATGTATCTTGTTTTTGTTGTGAGCCGCCCAGAGTCCCAAAGGAGTGGGCGGCATACAAATCCTATTAAAGTTAAAGTTAAAAGCAGAAAACAATGCCCTAATCAAAGAACTATCAATGAGAAAGCCACACTCCACCAACACTGGCTGGCAAGTGACTTTGTACAAACAAGGAGCAAACTTGCATTGATGATGTTACTTGGGTAATGAGACACTTGAAAACAAACAACCAAGCTCAGACAACACCAATGACTCCACAATTAAGGGGCTCTTGGGGAATGGTGTGAGAAAGGAAGAATATAAGATTCATTGCTTAATTGAGTTCATACCACAAATTAAGCTATATTTTACTGATGAGTTGTTAAATAAATCATAACTAGTTTGCTTTAAATAATATACAAAAGTTATTTGCAAACTACAGTGGTTAGATTTGTAAGTACAATAAATCAAACAAAGCACATTATACTTTAGGGTGTTCATTCAAATAACACTAGATGTATTGTAGTGAGATCAGGTTTTCTCTAATCACTTTTAATCAACCACTTGATACAGCAGCACAGTTTTAAATGAATGACAAATTAACCAATTCTCTGGATTTGTCAGTCAGCTGTATCAACATTCCATTCCGATTAGAAAAATAATTGGTTGTAGGGAAGCATTGATATCAATGCATACTAGAGGTGGGTTTCTTCCGGTTCAGATCGGTTCAGCTGAACTGGTAGTGGTATGCTGGCCTGGGTTGCAGAACCGGTAGCGACCTAGGCTGGCCATGCCTGTGAACCGGTTCCCTGGTTGCCGCCGCCATCTTTTTTGGAAGTTCTGTGCATGCGCAGTACAATTTCCATTAGATTATGCTTGCACATGCAGCACACATCTAGCGCGTGCACATGAGCGAACCAGCAGTAACACCAGCTAGAACCCACCCCTGATGCATACCATAAAGTAAGAACCAAGTTTATTTTTGTGAAAATCAGGTAGACTTTCTCATTATGTGAACTAATATTTTGCAGATTCAAAGTGGTACCCAAACAAGATTCAAGCGACTACTGCTAAATGTTGCTCTAAACAGAAAACTTGCTGAAGTGAAGCAGGGCATTGTCCGAAACAATAGCATATGGGACAAACTAGTATTCGGCAAAGTTCAGGTATATGTTCCTCTTTACACTTTATTTAACTATTTGTTATTAAATTTATATGTTACCTAACTTTCCAGAGGCAACTCTAGGTGACTTATAATCACCCAATTAAAATGCAATATAAAACATTAAAGCAATAAATGGGGACATTAAATTTAAATTTTAAATTAAAAGTTCAATTAAAATAAAATTGACCAGGATGAAAAAGGAAGAAGCAAAATGTGCTTTGGGAGGAGGTGGAACATTATCTAATATACTTTTGTCAAGGTAAATAAATACAAGGCAAGCTATATAAAACTTATGTTATTATTTCTTTCAAAGTGGCTTGACATCCTGATTCTTTTTTATTGCTGGACAGGAAGTGACAGGTGGAAAGCTGAAAGCAATGGTAACTGGTGCTGCTCCAATATCTCCGCCTATCCTACAGTTCTTCAGAGGAGTCTTTGGCTGTCATGTAAGTGCAGAATTCTGAAGGGATGGCTTGGCTTTCCAGTTCTGTTAAAGCTGATCTCTGGCTAAGAGGTGCACAAGGCAGTAAGTCAATGACTGACCTGAAATGGTGGTAGTGATCAGGATTCAGGACTATTCAAGTTTATATGCTTCTGTTTTAATGGAACTGTCACAGAACTGTCACTGTAAAAATATGTGAATTTATAACCTTGTGGATTGAGTTGGGTTGAGCAACTGTATTATTAAATTATTGTTTTTTTAAACAGGCCTATCAATATTGCAGTCAATGAAAAGCCACAAATTCCTTGGCTTTTCTCTCTAAAAATACATGGGCAGTAGGCACAAGTTGGTTGGTTCTCCCCTTTCCCATATCCCCAAAATGGTAATGAAAAGTTGTAGTTTGATGAAAATTTACCTTTTTTAAACCTAAAATCATTTTCTTACTGCTGCTTCTACTACCATGGAAGTACTGTTACACTTGTTTCATTGATTCGATTTGTATGGCCATCCTTCTCAGCAAATGACTCCAGGCAGTGAACAATTGAAAGCAAAGTGTCATCAAAGTCACAAAAATTAAAATACACAGCAGCAGACATAGATAACACTATTAATGGTTGTTAACACAACCAGAAGATGGGACCATTTATTTCGTCAGTATAGGGTTACAGTAATTTCTGCCAGAGATTTAATAATCTGTAATTAAAACGATCTTGTCATGATCTATGCTAAAAACACAGAACTGCAAGTGAATCTCAAGAACTGTATAAATCAAGCTTTTCTCTTCCTAATCAGATTGTAGAGGCATATGGTCAAACAGAATGCACAGCTGGCTGCACAGTCACAGTGCCTGGAGATTGGAAAGCAGGTGGGTTTCTTAAATTTTCATGTTAGGATCATTTAGAATTGAGGAGATTATTTTGGAAATATACGAGTTATGGTGGTTTTCAAATCAGGGTCAGACGATAATATTAAAGCTTGCTTCTAGTTTAAGCGTGTGTAGGAATTTCCATTCGGAATTGCACCTTTTAATTCTTTTAATCTTATTCTAATAAATTTTACAAAATTTATACAAAAAACACCAGTTGCATAGCTTGTCCCACTGTTTTGGGTTGTGTTCTTTAGGTCATGTTGGACCTCCTCTACCCTGCAACATCATTAAATTGGAAGATGTCCCAGAAATGAATTATTTTGCATCAAATAATGAAGGGGAAGTAAGTATATTTTTTCTAATATAACATCTGAATTTAGCTTTTTGAACCAAAAACAATTGAACAGTAACACTGTGTACATTTCATAGGTGTGTATTAAAGGGACAAATGTATTCAAAGGTTATCTGAAAGATCCTGAGAAAACAGCAGAAGCACTAGATAAGGATGGATGGCTTCATACCGGAGATATTGGGAAATGGTTGCCGGTAAGCAATTAATAATGGAATGTTTTGGCTTCTACGTTGTACTGTTAATAATTGTCGCAAGTAAGTTATAGAAAATATATCTTAAGCTGTTTTCAGGTGCTTAAAAGTGTTGCTTTGCAAAAAGAATTACTATTATACTTGGAATATTTTAAGATAAAATGAGATAATACCAAAGTTAGGCTTAGTCTTCATATTTCCTCCTGTTTGTACAATAATATGGATGACCTTAAATAGGAGCAACATTTAATGTAATGAAATATGAAATATGATTATAGACACACACACACACACACACGATTTTAAAAATCCCTGAATATTTTTATTTTTTGTTAAGACTTGAAGTAGAAAGGCAGAATATATTTCAAGAATACCTACCTTATTTAATGTCCCAAATTCATTAGATTTTTGGCTGGTATACTTTTTTCTTCATTTTCTGTCAGTCGAGACAAGGACCTAGTAACCAGTATATCAGTATACTGTAGGGGAAAAATAAATTCCTTAACGCAACCTTATTTATAATGGTTAATTTCTAGACTTGTATGGCAACTAAAGATCAATATGAAGATTTCAAATATTAAATCATGACATAACATAAATGTGCCCACCTTAATGTTAATTGTAGGTCATCAGGGCCCAATGTTACATTGGGAATGTATTACTGATTCAGACCAAAATAAAGGGCATCTTAACTTAATGTTTGGAAATCTAGCTCAGAAGGCTGTGCATGGCAAAGCAGTAACTGCAAGTTGAAGTTCTCTATAACTATATATGTAACAAACACAGGTTGATCTTGCGATTGTTTTCTTTGCATGCTAAGTGGTTTCTTGTATTAACTATTAAGCAGTAACTATTTGGTGGCCATTTAAGGTATGCAAAAAAATCAGTGCCTAAAATATCAATTTCTGGAATCTCTTTAACAAAAAAAAAACCTGTCATCAGTTTCCAATTTTGACTGGGAATGGTTTTGGAAGCCTTAAAAGCTGGGTAGTGAGTGGTTAGATATTGTAATTACCTTTTAAATCTTGCATGTTACAAAACCTGAATTTCAGGTATTAAGCAATCATCCATCATTATTAAAATAAGCTCCTCACAAGTGTTACAGGGCACAGTAAGAACATCTGTAATTGATTCCATTTTTTGTTGTATGAATTATCAATTCCCATTTTATTACATTCTTTTGTAGAATAAAGCATTGAAGATAATTGACAGAAAGAAGAATATCTTCAAATTATCCCAAGGAGAATATGTTGCACCCGAAAAGATTGAAAACATCTACATCAGAAGTTCTTCTGTAGCACAAGTCTTTGTGCATGGAGATAGCCTTCAGGTAACAACATGTTCCTTTGGGAGTTCTACCTTGATTCCCAAAGGCTGTTCTCTCCATTGCAAGATTACTTTTCAATTTTTAATTATGGCTTTCAAATAAATGACATGCTCAAACAAATTTTAACCAAACATGAAATCTCTTCCCCCAAAAGGAGGGATTTTGTATGTTTCAGAGAATATCTTGAGGATAAATACTTTCTTTTCTAAGGTGACTAAAATTTGAATGTCTATTGCTTCCGAAACAGTCTTTCTTGGTGGGTATAGTAGTTCCTGATGAAGAAACTCTTCCAGCATTTGCAGAAAACCTGGGAGTAAAAGGTTCATATGAAGATCTTTGCAAAAATTCAGTAAGGACATACATTTTACTTTATAAAGAATTAAAAATTCCTCAATTTGTAAGATAAAAATGTTTGAGTTAAATTTTATAATTTAAAGAGAGCGGAAGTGACGCAGTGGTTTGAGTGCAGTATTGCAGGCTACTTCAGCTGACTGCTAGCTGTAGTTCAGAGGTTCGATCCTCATCAGGCTCAAGGTTGACTCAGCTTTCCATCCTTCCGAGGTGGATAAAATGAGGACCCGGATTGTTGGGGGCAACTTGCTAAGTCTGTAAACCACTTAGATAGGGCTGTAAAAGCAGTATGAAGCGGTATGTAAGTCTAAGTGCTATTGCTATAATTAAATGTTATATAAGGTGTTAGTTATTTAGGTTCACAAGTCACGCAAGCTACAATATGGTTATTTGATTTTGGATGAACACATTATAAAGACCTCCACTGTAGCAGTGGTTTCAATAGGAAAACTATCACACTTTAGCATAATGTATAAATGTGTCAGTATACATGGTAGGAAAAAAATGCATGTCCTGAAATATCATTACTTATCAAATCAGAACAGGAACCTCTTATGACTTTTGCATTTATTTATGCCATAAAAATTGTCTAGTTGCCAGATTAAATTTAAACAAAATAACTAGAAATGGGAGAAAAAAGGCTGTCCAATAGAACAATGATTCTAAATCAACATTTAGCATTCCAAAGTGACATTATAGAATGAACTGAAAGTTTATGTGTAGGTTACATATTGATATCACTTTGCATTGTTTTTATATATTTGCACTTTGGGGAGCATTATAATCTTCCATGGAGTTGTTCAGAGCAAAACTGATAGTTTGTTGGGTATTAATCTAGGAAAGATCTTGCATTGTATTTAGCTCCGAATAGGCCAGAGGTACCTTGTGGAAATTATAGTTTAGGACTATAATAATAACCAGTAACCTGAACTGATTATTTAATTACAGGTAGTCCTCAATTTAATATTATAACTGGGATTAGAATTTCTGTTGCTAAACAAGGCACTGGTTAAGTGAGTTGTGCCTGATTTTATGACTTTTTTTGACACAGTTGTTAAGGGAATCATGTGGCTATTAAGTGAATCCGGCTTCCCTCATTGACTTTTCTTGTCAGAAGCCAGCTGTGAAGGTGGCATGAGGCACCATCGCATGGGCCTGAGATGCTATAACTGTCATAAATGCATGCTGGTTGCTAAGTGCCCCAAAATTGATCATATGATTGTAGGGATGTTTGTAAGTGCAAGAACTGGTCATAAGTCATTTTTTAAGTCCTGTTGTTATTTGAACAGGCCTAAATGAATGATTGTAAATTGAGGATTACTTGTACGTTTTGTGTATCTATGTAGCACGAGTTGATAGTTCCTGATATCTCTAATATGAAAAAATAAAATGTCTTTTAATTGAGAAAAGCAAATCTGTAAAGGAAAAATATGAGATATTGGTGTAAACCAAATTCATCTTAGTGGATTAGGGTATGAGAGAAACAATTTCCATTAATAAGCTGACTAGGAAGAATTAATTTATAGAAGAAATTTTAATGACATTTCTTAACATTTATCCGCAAACATTTCAAGTGGAAAGTTTGAGTTTCTTTAATTGGTGTACCATGCAGAAAGATTAACCAGGCTTACTACTTGTTTTTGTTTGTTTGTTTGTTTGTAATGTAATTATTTTCAGTCTATATTTGACTTACACTTTCAAAAAATCAGTTTTATATACATTTAGGTTAGTATTATTTTTTAATATTTAAAGTGATAAACTGTTAACAGTTAAACTTTAAATATTGTTTCAATTTTTTAAACTTCCATTTTGTTTCAAGGTAGTGAAAAATGCTATATTGAAGGAAATGAACAATTTGGGAAAAGAAGCTGGCCTTAAGACCTTTGAACAAGTAAGTAATTATCTAGGAAATTGCTGAAGATGATGGTTTTTGTAATGAATTCAAAGAAGAGTAAAAAAATAATCAATGGAGAAAGTATTGTTTTCTCTATATTAAATTTCAACTCTCACTATGATGAACACCTAACAGTTGTGCCATCCTTAAATTTTCCTTCTACTTTGCCCTTCTGAGATTTGATATGTAGGATGAAGAATTGTATAATGTAGTTTCATTGTATTGAAAAGATGGTTGATTTTATAAACAAAAAAAGTGCCATAATACCTAATTTGGAACAGATTCTAATACCAGGATATGTTTGGTGATCATAAATCCTGGCACATTTTGTGATTCCTAGATGTTCTAATGAAGTCAAATTAATCTTATCATTTACAATGGATTTCTAAAAGACTTCAGAATTCTTAATGGCATATTTCTGATATTCTGAAGCACATAGTTTGAATCTCCATTCTTGGCCTTTGACAAATAGCAAACAATTAATACAATAATAATTATGTTTTGGAGGAATTCTTGAATGGTAATGCTTCATTTCCAGAGGTGGGTTGCTGCTGGTTCAGCCGGATTGGGCGAATTGGTAGTGGCGGTGGCAGGTGGCTCGGCCCACCTGCCCAGATGTTTCTGCACATGTGCAGAAGTGTTGTGTGATAGCACACGCGCACACAAGCAAACCAGTAGTAAAATAAATTGCAACCCACCACTGTTCATTTACCATATTATTCCAAATTGAGTTAGCTCTTGGATCCCTGATAGGAATATACATTCAGTGGAAGATAAATATTCCATAAATATGAAAATGAAATGAAAATGTCAAACTGGCGGCCTGCAGGCTGGATGCATCATGCATAGGCCATGCCCATCCTAGCTTCACAAAGGCAAAAAAAAATGCAATACATCATGTGACGTGATTGAGTTTGATACTTGTGCTATAGACTGTTCCCTCTGTTACATTATTCTTTGATTTCATATTTGTCAATAAAATGGTAACTCATGGTAGTTATATGTGTCAAACATTTTTGATTATGACAAAATATTTTCTCCACCAGGTGAAATACATCTACCTTCATCCAGAACTGTTTTCAGTTCAAAATGGACTCTTAACCCCAACACTGAAATCAAGAAGATCAGATCTCGTCAAACACTTCAGGAGTCAAATTGATGCTCTTTATGCTTCTGACATGTAAAAGAATGAAGGTCACCTTGATTTGGACATATTGACAGGGGATTATGAAAGTGCCTAACTGGCAAAGGAAACTCCTAAAAGAAACCAATAAACATAGTATGTGTGTATTGTTAGGAGGTTAGAGTGTCCCATTTAGAGTTACATGCACAGGAAGACAAAGCAGACTGAACTGGCTTCAATTATTTAAAATCCCTGGGGAAACTATTTTATTGTATAAACCTAATTGAAATGGAAAAGTTTTAAATTGTTTAAAAACATATTTAAAAACTTATGGGAAAACATTGAACTCTATCACACCATTAAAAGAATATGACATTATATTTGTTTGATTAAATTGTTATGGCATACAGTAGATATTAACTACATAACAAGGATAATGTAATGTATAATGTTTGGGGGATTCTGTCATATCTAAAAACTGTAAAATACACTTCTTTTACCTTTAGTATGTACCACTCATAGATGAGCACTTACATATATTAGCATCAATTGTATATACGTATGTTTTAAATTGGTATATCCAATTCTGCTAAAGCACAAAATGACTATATTTGCTAACTGAAACTTGCATATGAAAAAACTTAGTAAAATAAAATATCCTAAAATATTTGTCAATTCATCTATATACAAAGACATTTGTAATATTCAAAAAGTTGAACTCATTGTTATTTTTACAGTGGGTTGACACTGTAGCCAAACAAACTACATAATATAATGACCTGAAATATAAATAAAATAAATGATTTTTTCTTTGAACGCAATTAATTTATTTCATTGGAGCCTAGATAGAATGAGTAAATATGCTGTTTGATTGCAATAATTAAACAATTCTTTAGTTAAGCTTATTTTAATTTTGACAGGTTCAGAAATATTTTAAATTTCTGGAATGTCATAATTCTAATTTATAATTGCAATGTAATTTTGTTAAATAGGCTATATATTATATTTCTCACTTGAGATATTACCAAGCATTGCCAAATAGTCCATTTCACAGTTAGACATGGATGACTTTAAATATTACAGACCTGAAATGATTTTCATGAAGTACAATGTATCAGGCATCTTTGCCGATCAGATGCTAAAATAAGGTTCAGTACAATTTCAGGGACAGGATTAATGTAAAATATAGATATATTTATGTTATTTTAGTAAAGGGAATTACATTAATAAGTTAACAATCAAATTTTGTAGTAGTAAAAACTTAAAACAAATTTAGATAATCAACAATGTAAACCAAAAGAAATTGTGTCATTATACATATTGTTGACTTCAAGTAGGCCTGTAGGATGGCTTCTTCATACTGATCATCTGCATTTAGGCTAAAGTAATATTTTGCTGTTATCACTTTGAAGCCATAATTTTTGGTACCCTGAAGATCATATGTTGTGAATTGCAAAAACCAGCAATAGCTTCTATAAGCCATTGGAACTTGCATACATATCTTTTTTGAACATGCAGTTTAAACTTTTTCTATATATTTTCCACCCAACCTAGTTCTGAAGCAATTCATAACTATACTGTTCCTATATTCTTTCACATTGTTATTTGATACAGTTCTGTTTAATGTACAGGGCGGGGCATAACCTTTTCCTAGGGGGTCACAGCAACACTTGTAATAACAACACAAATAATTCATACACCATTCGAAAGCCCATCAAAAACTGAGTTTATTGACACGATTTAATAGTCAGTATGACCACCATTAGCCCTTCGAACAGCATTCAAACGAGGTGGATAAGAACACAACAAATCTTCAAACAGTTCCGTTCGATTTTCCAGATTTTCCAGGGCGGGGCATAACCTTTTCCTAGGGGGTCACAGCAAGATCGACAGCAGTTTACAACTTCCGCGACACCTCATTTTAAAGCCCATAAAAAACTGAATTGAATGAGCTATTAAATGTTAAATTTGTTTCGGTTGAAACTTTGAGAATGAATTTGGAAACTGTGTTGAAAAATCTGGAAAATCGAACGGAACTGTTTGAAGATTTGTTGTGTTCTTATCCACCTCGTTTGAATGCTGTTCGAAGGGCTAATGGTGGTCATACTGACTATTAAATCGTGTCAATAAACTCAGTTTTTGATGGGCTTTCGAATGGTGTATGAATTATTTGTGTTGTTATTACAAGTGTTGCTGTGACCCCCTAGGAAAAGGTTATGCCCCGCCCTGTAACTGTTGACAAGTATTTATTTTTTATTTGTTACAGTTCTATTCAATGTCACTGCTGAAAAGTATTCTTATTTTTATTCTGTTATGAATAGCCCTTTCTCATCTGCTTTTCTATGAAAGACAAGTACTAAACTTTCATTCTTGCATGAGGTTATAGACTAATAGCCTCTTTATAAGTGTAAATTAGATGCAGCTATAGTAGCTTGTGCCACCAAAAGCAAGATCCCAGAAATGTGTCAGACAAGTGAATTGTACCAGTCAAAATCTTTACTGAATTGGTAATTTGCTTCTATATCAGTGGTGGGTTGCAGGCGGTACGCCCCGGTATTTGCCTATCGTACCCTGCCTGGAGCACTGGATACCGTTCTGGTATGGTGCTCCAGAGGGCCCACCTGCCTTCCCGAGCTTCTTACCTGTCTTTTAAGGCTTCCGAGCACACACATGGCACGTACAGCACCTACGCGATTCTCCGCTGAGCAGCTGGAGGCTCACGGAGACGCTAAGATGTGTAGATGCTGCCGGCCCAACCACACTGGTTGAAATGGGATCAGAACCCACCACTGTTCTATATGAATTGTCTTCTGCAATATGAGTTATGCTTCACCACAGCTTTCTTAACTTTCTGCCATTTTTTGTACTTAGGAGGTAGTTGAACATTTATTTATTGAGCACAAATTCATGTGCTTAAAATGGCATTTTCAAAGTACATTTAACACTGACTAGCTGCATTTCTGCATATTTTGCTAGAGCAATATTTTCACAACTAGGTAACTTTAAGATATGTGGACTTCAATTCTTAGAATTCCCCAGCCACTATGCTTATTGGAGAATTCTGGGAGTTGTAGTCCATACTTTGTATACTTGTCAAGTTGGAAAAGCACTGCTGTACAGGCATTTATTTCTTACCTTGAGAAGGAGGTGGGAAAGGTAAAATGGTTTGTCATATCTGAAGAGTAGAAAGAACAGCCATACATTGGCCTGTTGTCTTTATTTTTTTATATATAATTTTTTATTTTTTATTAACAAACATGTAAAATACACACATACAAAACCTAGACGTACACATTTACACAATACAATACGAACAGGAGCTTCCTCTTCTTTCTAATAGCAATTATCAATCAATACCGCTCACTTATATTATTTCCCCTTCTATTGTATTTCATTTGGATTTCACCATTCTCAACCCTATTATTTTACTCATAACTATTATTTTTTGAG